GGACAGAACTTCTTACTATTTTTTTCAGAAGCATATTAGCAGACTGCATACTTAGACATGTGCTGTGTTCAAACACTTATCTGCAAAACACCAATAAGAAGAAAAAACAACTCGTAAGAAATCACAAAGAAAACACACACTAATTTTTATTCTTAGTAACACAGACAATAGCTTAATTCTTGGAGAATACAAGAAATTCCTATTTCCACTATTACTTTTTTTACTGTTTCCTAAATAAAAACAGTATGTGTGGCACTGCTGCTTAAAACAGCTATACTTACTGCAATTCAAAATGTGGTCACACAACCTCCAAGTACTGTCCAAGATCTGTACCAAGTTTTCTGTACCATATGATGAGCAGGAGCCTTTTCAACCCAAGTCAGTGAAACGCTGCATGGACATCGGAAATATTTTTATACACCAAATTTATCTATGCTGTGAAAAGAGAAAGAAGAAATGGAAGAATAAGCAACCAGTATATGAAAGGGCCATCTTTTTTCTTTTTACTAAACTGCCCATTAAGTTGGTATTGGCACATAAAGCTAAGGAGATAAACCCCACAGCCCCATTAATTTCATATGCATTTGTATTTAAATGCGAAAGGTCTGCAGAAAAAAAACACCCAAGAATGTTTAATATTTTTTTTGTCCTATGCACACTACAGAACTAAAATCAGTGAAGTTTCAATGCTTGAGAAAACATGATTTGATCAAAACTAAGATTAGCTCAACATTTTGAAAACAAAATTCATGATCTCCCTAATAACCTAAAAATAATTTGATGTACAGAAGAACAAGTTAAATCTAATTTTGGGGTTATATATATGTACCTGCTCAGATGAGGCATAGAAAGAGCTGTGTATTAAGAAATGTGACATAACCTGGCCTGCTTTTACTATACAGTAACTGGTCAAACTGGTGACCAACTTCTCATTTACTACTGTTCTTAAGATAAAAGGAACAAAAACAAACAACCAACCTAACAATGTGAAAGTTGAGAAGTGTTACTATAGAGGTGTTCCTAATTTTACATTTCACCATTAAACCTAATGGCAAAAATAATAATCAAATAAGTATTTTGTCCACCTTGGAGAAATCAAGGGATAAGTTCCTCAATTAACTTATATTACTGGAGCTTCAATTAAATCAATATTTAAACATCAGATTTACACAATCAGAACACTTGGTGACAGCTTTTGATAAAGCCAAGTTACCTTCCAGTGTGTCCAACATTCACACTAACATCATTACTGCAAGACTCAATCTAAACCTCTTTAAAGAACTTAGATTTGTAAAAAACATAAACGTTTGTTTTTTTCTTTTTTTAGCATGGCTTCACCATAACTAATCTCAGGCACAGAAAGGGCCTTTACTGATACTTCAGACTCTGAATAACTCTTCTTACTTCCCCAGCACAGCTGCCCACACACGGAATCACAGCCTGGGACAGGTTGGAAGGGACCACTCCGGGTCATCTGGTCCAACCTCCCTGCTCAGGCAGGGTCATCCCAGAGCACCTAGCACAGGATTGTGTCCGGATAGTTCTGGAGTATCTCCAGTGAGGGAGACTCCACACCTCCTCTGGGCAACCTGTTCCAGCGCGTGGTCACTCACCCAGTAAAGAAGTTCCTCCTCATATCCAGGAGAAACTTCCTGTGCATCAGTTTCTGCCCACTGCCTTCTGTCCTATTACTTGGCATCACCGAGCAGAGCCTGGCTCCGTCCTCTCGGAACCCTTTCTTTAGATGTTTATTTACGTTAACGAGGCTGCCCGTAGGGGGACACGCCAGGCCAGGGCACGCAGTCACGCGGCTCTTTCGGAGCAGCACGGCCCGCTGCTGAACAACTCCTAAACCAGCCACGATCATCTGAGACATTACCTCCAGACCCCGCTGTGCCCTCTCCCCTCCCCAGGACACCGGCTCGCCCAGGTCCCCGCGCAGGGCGGGACCCACGGGCACCGCGGCCTCCGGGGCACCGAGAAACACCTGCCCGAGCTCCGGCCGCGCTCCCTCCCCGCCCGAGCTCCGTTGGGACAGGCCGGGCAGACCCCGGCGGCTCTGGGCGCACCCGGCGGTCACCGTGGGCGCCGGAGCCGCTCCGGCCACGCCGCCATCCCGGCTCACCTCGCGGCGCCGCTGCGCCTGCGCCCGGCGGGCCCGGCCCGATCGCGGTGCCGTGCCCCTGGCCTTCCGCCGTGCTCCGCGGCTGCGCGCCCACCGTTCCGGGCTCCCTTCGTCCCCACGGCGGGGCCTGCGGCGTGCGGTGATCCCAGCTTTTCCGTGTTCCATCCCGGGGGCGCGGTGGGGTCTTCATGCGGGACAGGGTCTGGCCCCGCCGCCACGCTGGTCTGGGACTGGGGCTGGGGCGTGAGGCAAACGCTGGAACCCGACGGGTTTGTCAGCTCGGCGTGGTGGTCTGTGATTTCTCTTCCTCTCTCCTTGTCTGCCCCCTCTCTCTCCCCCTCTCTCCCCGGTCTCTCTCTCTTTTTTTTTTTTCCCAACTTTTTTGATTTAATACCGCGGAGAAGTTTCGCTTATTTTTATCCCAGGTTGTTGTTGTTTGATGGTGCGTTGTTATGGTTTTCTGTTGTTTCCCTCTCCCCCCAGCTCTCAGGTGGGGATTTAACTGGAAGCGGTGATCTGTCGCGATGAGTTTTCTGCTGCCCAAACTGACCTCGAAGAGGGAAGTGGATCAGGCAATAAAAGGTGTGGCTGAGAAGGTTTTGGTTCTCCGTTTTGGAAGAGATAGTGATGCTGTTTGTCTGCAGCTCGATGATATTGTAAGAGTAATTTCTTTTTTTTTTTTTATGAACTCCACAAATACAGCTGTTGCATACAGGGGAATATCATATGTTGCTTTTGGCTAGTATGGTGCCTCATGAAAAACTTGTTGACAATTAAATGTAGAATGAAATTATACTATATTCATAAAAAGGTTTGAAAAGCAAGTAAATGTTTGTGTTATTATTGTGTTGGGTGTAAAAAGTGTTTGAGGTAGACAAGACATGATATTCTAGCCCTGCTTAAACTGATAAGACATATGAGAAATGGGCTTTATCAAGCTTGCCAGCCTCTTTTCCTCTTGTGTCTCAGTCCATTTGTCATGCACTTTTCTCACTCTTTTCAGCTTGCAAAAACAGCTCATGACCTAAGTAAAATGGCAGTCATTTACCTGGTGGATGTGAACAAGGTCCCAGTGTACACCCAGTATTTTGACATCAGTTACATTCCATCTACTGTGTTTTTCTTCAATGGACAACACATAAAGGTTGATTATGGGTGAGTCATCCTACGTGGCATTCTCTGTTATGTTTGTAAGAACAATCAGTCTTTCTCTGTTACCATGGGAAGGGAACGTGTAAAACCTATAATGTTGTTACCAGCATCTGCACTGAGAACTCTGTGGGAAGCCAGTAGAAAATAAAATAGAGAAGCATTTTGAAATATGATCTGATGCAATAAGTGGGTGTTGACTGTCAAATATGCCTGACTCTGCAAAAATAGTAAAAAAATGGTTAAAGTCTGAGATGTGACACTGCACCTGTTTGAGCTTTGGAGGTCCCAGTATATTCCTGGCTTGGTTGTGCCATTACAGGGTGTTCATTCTTTCAGCATGACCAGATCAGAATCCCTCGTGTCATTGTACATATTTTCATGTCTTTAGGTGTTTTTGCTGTGAACACTTTAACATTATAATTCTACCTTTATCTTATGCTTATATTTAGGTCTCCAGATCATACCAAATTTGTAGGAAGCTTCAAAACAAAGCAAGACTTTATAGATCTGATTGAAGTGATCTACCGTGGAGCAATGCGTGGAAAGCTCATTGTGAGAAGTCCTATTGATCCCAATAACATTCCTAAATACGACCTTCTCTACCAAGGAATTTAATGGGTTGACCTGAGGTAAAGAATTACAGAAATGGACGATGTTCTAGATCCTTTTTTCTTCACCTCTGACACGGTGGGACAGTTTTGAGTGTTTATGCTGAAGGATCATATTGGTCTCCTTCTGAAGACAGACATTCTGTCACCTCATGCTTTTCTCGTAAATAAAGCTTCATGTTCTTGCATAGAGTTTACACAAGTGACTGTTCTTTGAGTTTCATGCTGACCAGCCCCTATAGAACAGGCAGGTTGTGTGCATCCTCAACCTTCTGAAGTGAACCAAGGCACTGTAAAGTCTATTAGGTGTCTATTCTGTACCATTTTCATTCACATATAATGACAGTAAACCTTACTTTATTAGAAAAGCTGTCCTTGCCCTCAAGAGCATTCAACTAACTGTGCCTTTCCAGTGGAATTTTGCACTTTTACCCATGCTGGTAACAGGACAGAAGCTCCTTCCAACAGTATTAGAAATGACTGAAATCTGAATTGGATATAAACAAAAAAGGGGGGTTGATCTTGTTCTCGAGTATTACTGTTCAACAGTTTTTTTGACTGAGATGGGAACCTACTACTACACTTGCAGGAGAAGGTTTTGCCTTCCTTCAAAGCTCTTTTGCAGCCACTGAACACTTAATTCCCACAAGCAGAATTAACTGGTTTGTTTACATTCACTTTAAAGATTATTTGAACTTCTGCTTGTATACATTGCAAACCTTGAGTATGCACATTTAAAAACTGTTTCCCACCTCTGTGTAAAATTAAACAGCTGAGTGGAAACAGCAATCTCATTCTTTTGCATTAGTTTGGTAACTGCAGGCTGCTAGAGTATTGTATTTCTACAGCAGCTCATGTCCAGTGTTCTCACAGGCCTAGTTGGCTTTAAATGGAAATTACCTTAGCTCACTGTATCATGTTTGGGGCACACCAACTCTGACTGGAGGGAAGGTAGTAGTATGTAGTTCCCTGAAGTATTGTTCAACTTAACAGTAAATGTTTCAGGAAGGAAGGTGGATGTTCTGGCTCTTGAAAGATTTTAAGCAATGTATGGTACATAGTGAGGAAGAAACAGATTGTTTACATGTTTTTTCTGTTCCAGATTTGTCCTTTTAATGAAGCTAGGCACTTAAGCAAGTGTTTTACTGCTAGCTTAGTCTGATTATAGAGCCATAACTGTAGAGTGTTTATTTTTAAAGATTATATACTTGAGTTGATATGCCTTAACATCTTTATTGTGTTCAACTTTAAATTTCACAGCTAGCCAAAGGGTTGTGGCTTAAGGCTTTCAATAATGCATTTCTTTCCTAATAGTTAACTTTAGTGTTTTTTTAATCAAAACCAAACAAATTAGCTTCAAACTTAAAACTCTAAGTTGCTCCACAGTGAAATGAAGGTTCTTAGGTGATTGAAAGGTGTAGAGGCAGTTATGAAAGGAAGAGACTACTATCAAGAACAAACCAGTGTGCCTTTATTTATTGGCTCTCTTCTTTGTGCTGCTTCTGGTTGCAATAGGTGAATGCCTAAAAGCTGTTACAGTTTTAGCTTTCAGGGAGCTCTTCAGGTACTTAAAGATGGCATGGAGACAGCAGGAGGGTGCTAAACCACACTTTTCCGTTCCAGCAGAGACAGTGGGACAATTTGTTCTCAAGAGAAAGTCCACAGTCTTATTTAGAGGTTTACTGTTTGACACCCACTCGCGGCAGCATTTCAGTATCCATTCCTGTATCTGTGGATTGTTCCTGGTCTGGTGCTGTGTGTTGTGCACAGAGTCAATGAAGGCCACGGAGAACACTTTATTCATCACCTCACATCTTCTCTGCACCAGCAGATCAACGAACACCAAGCCACCGTAGCCATGGGCAATGAAGGCCACATTCTTGGCTGCGCTCTTTGAAATGAAATGATCCCACACATACATGGTGTGCTCCTCAGGGCTGCTGCTGCCCCTCTTGGGGATCCACCAGACAGACTGTGTAAAAGTAACTGCTTCTTCCCTGGTAGAAAAGTGATGCTTTTCACTTCTCAGATCCACAAAGTTGTCATTGGGATTCAGTACAATCACTTCCCAGTGGCTTTGAAGGGCCATTTTGATGAATGGTATTTGTGTTCCGTGTCTCAGGCCATCCCTGACAATTGTCTTTTGCCCCCACTGTCCAGCACAGAAAACTCCACGGTCTTGAAGAAGTATAATGAGGCTAGAGGAACTTGTTAGTGCATTCTTGCTCATGAAAAAGAAACTTCTTGGTTCATCCTCTGTAGCATCAGTAGGAATATAAACCTTCTGTAGCATGCAGACCCTCTCCAGGAGCTCATAAACATACTGGGTAATAAAATGTCCCAGAACTTCATAGCGTTTATGATTCTGCTCAAATCTGCTCTTGTAATAATTGAAAACAAAGGACTCATTTGTATCCAGATGCCTCAGTTCCCCTTTTATATTGAAGTCATACTTCAGATCCTCTTGATACTCCGAACCCTCTATTAGTTTCCTCAGGCTGAGTTCGTGCTGTATTTGTAACCACTACAAATTAAGAGGACTATGTCAATGTGGCAACAGACCTCCATACAACACCTGCCTAACCCCCCCTCCAGCCTCTGTATTAGAATTCAGATTTAAAAGCAGTTACAAAGAAAATAGTTGTTGATCCAGACTCTCTCTTGGTGATGTGTAGTAAACCAGCTGCTTGTAAAATCTCTTAAGAGATTTCAGTTGCTAATTTCCAACAGCAGTAACATATCTGCCTTTATTATGCCTTGATTTCAGTTTGCTAGTTAAAGTTTGTAAGCTAGTTTGTTTATTTAAAGACCTTTTTAAGCTAGTTTGAACTAAAGGCCTTAAAGAGGAAGTTTGTGTACCTGCTTCATTGTTCATTTTAACAGCTCTTCTATCGTGCTGTGTCCTAGACATTATCTTGAAACTCTGCTGAGTTTCAAGGCTGCCTTTGAAGTACATGCATTGTCAGTTGGAAGTAGTCCCGAGTATCTTACTGGATCCTAAATTTTTAAAGAAAATCAAGCTGCACTTACTAAAGACTTCAACCTTCACATTGCTTGTGTACCAGCACACTCTCCATGTTCTACCTTCAAACTGCACTAGCACAGATAATGCATGTATGTGTCTGCTTTTTACTCATCACTCCGGTTATTCATTCAGCATTGCAAGCACTTGCCACATGGATAGGAATGGATGGCAGAATAAGCTAGCCACTGTGATCCAGGAACAGAAGAAAACAAAGTCCATGCAGGTTGGAAATATCATGAGGTTGGATTGAGGTCTCTAGTTTCAGATTATCTCCAGTGAATTATATAAGTTTATCATAACTTCCTATTTTCCTAATAACTCTTCAATCTACTCTGACTGTCAGTGGCTGTAGAATGCTAAACAGTGCATGACCTTTGGTGTTGTTAAAATCCTACCTCTTCAGGAGTTTTGTCCTGACACAGTAATTTTTTTTTTTAAATGTTTTACATTAAGTTATATTTGTCAAGTTATTTGGTACAAGCTACTCTATACCTTTAAGTTTTTCTTGCTGAACTAACAGAGGTTTTTAGAACACAGTAAGTCACCTTCTGTGTTAAAACTCACTATACCATCTGATAAAGCCAGGACTAGGACTAAAAGTGATCTGAATATTTCCATGTAAGCGACTTGAGTTGGAGCCCAATACTTTCAAGGAATGCAAGTTTCCCTGAGTAAACTGATTACCATATTGAAAATTATTCCTTAAACATCCAAATTTTAAAAAGTTTTTAGCTTTTCAACTTAACAACACCACATACATTTTCTTTTTGAGCAATCTCCATTGGGTTAATAATGTTAAGTCCTCTCTTCAGGATCATTCCTGTCTTCTGATTAATAGAGAGCAGGCTAGAAAATGGTACCTTCTTTTTTATCTCATGTAATCAGTACATATAGAAAAGGGGGGGGGAAATCAGATTCTAAGACACATAATCCATTTACTGTCTTGCCAGTTTCTCGGAAGGAAAGGAAAGGAAACAGCACAAAGAAATTGCAAGTGCACATGTTCATCTATGCTTTTTTCATTCTGCAGGAAGGCACGAAAGACACAAAGGAGATGGGAGAACAGTCTTTTTGCTATACTACTAACTATGGGTAATTCATAGAAAAGAGATCATATTTAGTAGGGAAGAAGCTATGCATATTCATGTTGTTGTCCCCAGGTGATGAAGTGGAAGAAAAATGGACATATTTTAAGGGAAGATGTCTATCGATAAAGGTGAAGCATTCTATAACAATTATGAATAGACAAATGCTAGTTCCTTACAGAGTGGCATGCTGTGGATCACTTCTCAGTCCCTTTCTCTCCCTAAAAGGCTGAAGACTAATTTCCCAACTTACTATGAGCAGGCAGTTACTATTCCCTTACTTCAGCTACTAACAACAACATTGCTTTTTCAGTTCCAAAACAAGGATATGTGATTCCAAATTAAACCCTGTGTATGTAATATTGAACATCTACTTTACAAAGCACTGTGAAAGGTTTCTGAAGATTTCAGGAGGCAGAAACACACACAAAAAAAAAAGTTTTACATGAGGTGTATGTATGACTTCCCTTCCTAAAATTGCCTTCAAGGTGTGAAATAAGAAGTTTTGAGGCAATTTATACTAGGTTATCACTTAAGAGTTTGCTTGAATAGCAGCTTAGAATCATATACTTATTAGTCCAGAGCCACAGTAATGCCATTTACAGAAAAAATAATCACTCTTTTCCTTCCTCCCACATTTCTGTTTGGATTGTAAAATACTTCAGCTGTAAATTCAGCTAGTGTTTGTTACAGCAATTGGCACATTCTAAACACTACTGCAGTGTAAGCACTACTCTTTAGGAGATCTGTAAAGATTTGGGATTTTTTTCTCTTTAAAACCACTTTATTAAAGCCCAACATTACCGTATGCTCTCCTGTAAAATCTGTCATCATCGTAGATGGAAATCTTTTTCTCTCTGTGAGTGTAGATAAGTCCTGTGCATGAAAGAAAATAAACCCATCATAGTTTCAGGTTTCATTACTTTATGTACTGGGGTGTATATCTGTAAAACAGGTGATAGGGCCACCAAAAGCACTCAAGATAATTCGGAGTTACAGGCTAACACCCTTCGTTTGTAATTTACACCTAAGTTAAAGCTAAAACCTCTTGAGTGTGAGACTAAACACTTGTCCGAACCAGTTTTGCTTCCCACTACCCAAGAGGACAAAACAGAAAGCTACACTCATAAAGCCTACAATTCTGAAGCTGCCCTGAAAAAAAAAACAACAGCAAAACCAAACTCCCCCCCCCAAAAAAAAAAAATTCCAACCAGTAAATCTTTGTCTCCTCTTGGCTGTTAGGAGGATTTCCAAGGCCATCGGCTGCAAAACCGTGGCCACAGCCGGGTTTATAAGGCAGCCGAGCCCTCCGGCAGGGGATTAACCCCCTGCTGGGGTCTGGCTGCCAGCTGAGGGAAACCTGGTTAGCAAGGGGAAACCTAAATCTGCCTCGGGGTGGGTTCTCGACTGCTTCTCTAAAAACAGTGAGGTTTTCTCCCACCAGCGGCTCAGCACCGAGATAAACTCCCGAAAGTTAAAGCCCGGAGCGGCTGAGGGGCAGCACCCCGGCGTGGGGCGAGCCCGGTGCCCGGCCCGGCCCCGCGGGGCGGGACGAGGCGGTGCCCGGCCCGGAAGTGCCCCGGGAAGCTGCGCAGGCGGCGGCGGGCCCGGGTAAACAGCGGCGGCCGCGGCGGTGAGTGCCGAGTGGGGCCGTCCGGTCCCAGCCCCTCGGCCGCTGGAGCGGGGAGTAAAGCGGGAGCACGGCTGGCAGGCAGCGCCCCGGCGGGCCCGGCACCGGCCGGGGTGTTTCAGGCGAGCGAGCGAGCGAAGCCGACGAGGCAGGGCGGGCGGACGGAGGGCACCGAGGGAGGGAGGGTGGCGGCGGCGGCGTTGTTGCTCCTCGGGAAGGAGGCTGAGGAGGGAGTGCGGAGAGGTGGAATTGCCGGCCTAGGCTCTCGGCACTTGTGCGTTTGTCACTGGGAAGCCCGTTCCTTTCCTAGCGGGAGGAGCCGGCGGTGCGGGGTCGGGGGCTGAAGGAAGCGGGGGTTGGAGATCGGGAGCTGAGGAAGGGGGGTTCGGGACCAGGAGCCAGGCCGGGTCCCGGCGGTGACAGCCCGGGAGGTCCCTTTGCCCGCCCGAGCTGTCAGGAGGCCGCCGCTTGTCGGCTTTCCCTCTTCGGAACAGTAGGCAGTAGTTTGGCTTTTCTTTTTTCTGTCAGTCTGTAGATGTTGCTGTTCCCCACGCTGGGGAACTTGGGCTTGTAAATTGAAAAAACCCGCTGAGGTGAATGAAAGTTCCTGAACTTGAAGGGCTTCTTAAGAGACTTAAAGCGTTATGCCAGAGTCATACGGAGTATTTATGAAGAGAACAAACACCTATGGATGCTGAAAGCTCTGAAGCTGTGTCCTTCCACTGATGAAGTTTATAGACTACCAGGAATACTTGAATATTATTTATTCTTGGAGCCCCTGTCCTGCAGTGTCACAGATCTCTTCTGTGACTCCTTTTCACTCTATAATCAAAGTTTTAAATGCTTATTGATTGTGTGCTTGGGGGGGGGCAGTTGATCATTAAATGGCTTCACTAAAGATAAATTCTTGTGACAATTTCTTTAATGGTTCTATCAGTGCTGACAATCCAGAGCCTTGCCCAAGCGTGTGTGTCTCTTGTATTATGGCTGTCAATTACTTTTTACTAAGGCTTGGAGTGACAGGACAAAGGACAATGGCCTTAAACTGAAAGAGGGTAGGTTGGACATGAGGAAGAAATTTTTTTGTGCTGAGGGAGGTGAGATGCTCGAGCGGGTTGCCCAGAGAAGCAGTGGATGCCTCATCCCTGGAAGTGTTCAAGGTCAGGTTGAATGGGCTTTGAGCAACCTGACCAAGTGAAAGGTATCCCTGCCTGTGGTAGGAGGGCTGGGGTAGTTGATCTTTTAAAAGTCCCTTCCAACCCAAGCCATTTTGTTAATGTGTTTTCTTTGTCCTAGTTTGCTCAAAAAAGATTTTCTTGTTCTTTCTTAGTACCTACTGCTGTGGTCCTGCTTCCCTCTTAATCAGTAAACCACAAATTTTTTGTTTATTTTGTTTCTTTTTCTTTTTCCAGTAGAGAAAATCATGTCGGGAAGAACATCATCTTCAAGTCATGCCAGTGTAAGTGTTGCTATAAATTACAACAATGTGCAACAATTTATTTTGAGGCTGTGGGTATCCTAGGGCATTCTGATGTGTTTGCATAACCAAATTCATTCTTGAGCATTCCAGCAAAAGCTGGACAGTTTTCTGTGGTAGCAACCAATACTAATGTCTGCTGTTGAACCTGTATTAATACATGATAGGCTTAGCATTTGATTACACATAAACAGGGTGTTTTCAGGGGCATTTTAAGACCTAGGCTAAAATACTAGAGTCAGTAGAGTGAGGTCAAGTAAGTAGAGCAGCTGCACAACTGTGTAATATTTGCTAGTGTTTATTTTTTCTAAAATATCTCTATTAGTAGTACTTTCTAGCAGTGGAAGTACTGGTGAAAACAAATGGTAGGCACAGGAACTGGTTTGATCTGGCAAGGTATGGACTATCTAGAGGTGTAGAAATAAGCTGTTTCCAGCACCTTGTTTATGCACTTTCTCTGACCCTTGTTCCTACAGGTGACTGTAGAGATTTAATTTGCACAGACCCAGGTTGCCTGGACAAACTGAATCGTTTATTGATTACAATCTTTGGTGTATATATGGGGTCTGGGGAAGGAGGGACAGGCATTCCATTTATAGCTGGGGTTAGGGGTCAGGGAAACACAGAGAGCTGTTTTTCATCAGACAGGAGAGCAGGCACTTCTTCATTACAGTTACAATGATTGATGATGCAAAGCAAGGCCATAAAGAGATTTACTACAGGGTTTAGAAGTCTGTTTGTTTATCTCAGATAATGCAAGAATTTCAGGGAGTGAAGGCAAACAATTCAAATTGCTTTTGTTTAAATCCCAAGACTTCTTGCTAAGATCTCTTATCTCTGCAGTGTCCTGAAGAATTTGCATTCCTACAGGTGACAACCTTCAGAAAAGTACTGCTGGTTTAGATGAGTGCGTATACACGTATATGTCTTGAGTTAGTCACCTTTTATTTGGGAAAAGGTGAGGCAACTGCATAGGTTGCATTTAGCATAGATTCAGAACCCTATTTACTTCTCAATTTTGTGCTTGTTTTGTAACTTAATTGTGGACACTGCAAACCAACATCTTCTTAATGAGTGTGAGCATTGAGAAGATGCTGTATGGTGAGCTGGAAATGTTGCTGATGAACGTATCTTGTGCTTTTTATCCTTTCTGTCAGTCTGTCTGCCTCTTCTTGTCTTCTGAGTCTGACCTTATCTGTTATTAATGTTATCTGTTATGTTATTACAGAGGTTATATGAACCTCTTCACCTTTAAGTGCATATTAAAATTCTAGATAACTCTGTGTACTTAGCAATCTCATAACAGAAATCTCCAGTCAGGCAGCTGGTGGAGTTCTGAAGTAAGAAATTTGTACCTGGCCATTAAAGTGCAGATCAGAAGAATGCATTCTGACTGATGAACATGTTTATAGGCCACTTTTAAAAGAAAACCAACCAAACAAATTTGAAACAGTCTACTTGTACAAGTCCTTGAGTAAGAAAATGTCTTGTTCAATACTTTTATGTTGATTGGAAAGGAAGGGAGGTACTTGTATGAGAAGTTGTTGCCTGTGCGTAACATTTATAATTTATCTTTTAAATTTATAATTTGAAGAATCTGTTATCAAAGGCATATTTGTTATTACAGCCTTTGACCAGCAAAAGCAGGCTGAGGTACTGATTACAAAAGAGTTTAATCTTTGTTTCAAAGAAGTGTAGAGAAGGAATAAGAGCACTCATGATTCAGACTGAAGGACTGAAGTATTATCTCATTATGGTGCAGCATGCTGCATTATGGTCTGTCTGAAGGACTGCCTACTGAGCTAATGGATGTAGTTGATGTATTAATTATTAAGTTGTTAGCTCTGCTGTTCTAGAACCCTTGCTTGTAATTTCATGGTACAACATGGGGCACCTGGTGGCTTGCAAATCAAGTACACTTGACAGCAGCCATCATATGGAGTGGCTTCAGCTTTTTCCTGGCTGAGATAGACTCAGTTATGTGAAAGATGTAAGTTTTGCGTTCCCTCTCTGATTCATTCTCATCTGGTTGTATTTGCAATGTCAGGTTTTGCTTCTCAGGATGCCTAGAGAAAAGGCAATGCTTGCACTTTTATTCTTTCAGTTGATATTATTTTAACTGGTTTAATTAACTGATAGGAACTGCTGTCCTATTTCCTTGTCTTGATGAACTAGTAAGAATTTAGTTTGATAATTTTTTGTTTGAATTTCAGTAAACAAACCTTATTTCCTACATATTTTTTCCTAAATAGGCAAATTTCCATGGACTGCTGTTTTCTCTGACAGTAATTACTTTCCAAATGCTGGTTCCATTTCTGCAAAGGTTAGCAATGACAATAGGTTATACCACTTTCAGTACATTGTAGTCTGTTGATGCTAAATTATCATACCAAATGCTAGTACTATTGTAAGATGTAATTGTTCTTCATCCTGAATTTTTTGTTTAGTGAGAGCAAACCTGGTGTGAGTCATGATATTCAGCTATTTTCTTTGTTCTTTATCGGTCTCTAAGCTGAAACAACTTAACTGGAGTGGAAACAAATCAGAGTGAACTAAGAAAACTGTCAGTACATTGGTTGTCACCTTTTAGGCACGTGTTCTAAGTTGTGAAGTTAATAAAATAGGAAGAGCTTGTTCAGATGGTTCATGTGTTAAAACTAGCTCCTCACGAGGTATGACTCATTATTTGGGATCAATTCCTCCTCAATGAGGAATGCATTTAAACTAAAGTCACACATCAGTGCTTCCCTTATGGCTTAGTTTTGCCTGACAGTTAAGAAAACTTTGTACATGGCAGTATGCCAGCTCATAGCAACAGGGCTGGTTAATTAAACCAGTTAAAATAATTTAGTTTTATCGTGTGTGTAACATCATCTATTTTCAGTTTCGTATACCAAAGAAGAAAACAAACACCGAATCAGAGGCTGTCCAAGTTCAGTCCCCTTTGGCAAGGCTCCCAGGCTCCCACCATTGGGACTACCCTTTAAAAGAGGTAAAGAGAAGTTCTTCAGAGTGTTAAGTGTGTAAGAGATTGTTACATGAGGTTTTGGTTCTGTTTTGGATGCTGGCTTTTTTAATACCAAGTGCTACCTTGGAGAGAAACAGGTGTGTAGGTCTGAAATCTGCCTGCAGGCATACATTTACAGAAATGGAAGTCTTAGTGCCATGTTTCCAGCCTAAATCATTGAAAAGCAGAGTTGGTCTTCAGGTGTAGTTTGAAGCTGTCTTAAAAGTCTTTAATTTAAAGATAAATATAATATTTTTTTTAGTTGTCTTCTGATTTCTGAACTTTAAGTTATATTCAGATCACATAGTAAACTTTTTGTTATGATATGGAAATAACTTTTACGTTGAGTTTTCAGATAATTATTGTTTATATCTTAGAGCTTAAGAGAATAAATTAAGTGCTGTATCACTTTTGACAGAATTTTAGGTG